CGGTATAGGAATACGTGAAATATTTTTCCGGGTTCATGCTCAACCCGCCGAGATAAGGGACAATGAGGACCCCGGTTGAAAAACACTCAGATCAAGGAACACGCATGCATAGAGTTTACAGAAACTCAAACGCTCTCAGCCCAGCAAGAAGCTTCAAGTAAAGCGCAAGGAAATTCACTCCGGCATCCCGGAAGCCCAGGTAGCCTGGCTGAGGGGAAACTGTTATGGACCCGTATAAGGGGCCCATTGAATGGCAGGCCCAATAATGGGCAATCCAAGATCTGGATCAATTATAATTACGGATAGTATGCATCAAGGATACTAATCCTAATACGACAGCGTAGCAAACAGGCTTGGGCCCTTATCAGAGGCACCAAAGGCCCACATCATACTACCCACAGGTAACCTCTATAAATACAAGGTAAACCCTAAAGGTACGTTACTATTACTGTTACGCTGTCACTGTACGCACACACACCCCATTGGCTAACGACGTTATTAGTTCGTTGTGCACAGTGATCTGCTTGACTCAAGGGTATTTCTTTCATAGATACCTTGAAGAGGGCACTAGATCCAAGATTAACGTACCAGTCCATTGGACTGGACATCTCTGTCGTTAAGACAGAACAATATCTAACACCCAAAATCACTGAAATCAAGAGTGCTCAACCTGACTAAAAGCTTGAGGAAGATGCTATCTCAAATGGATGAGGATTTGGTACTTTCTTGTCAAAATAAGTTGGATGAGGAAGACTCAATCAAGATCAAGTGTTGTAGCTGAGCGAAGGAGTCTAACAGTGCAATCCGTAGCAGTAAGTGGTGATGTCTCAGCATCTTTAAAACCTGTAGCATGCTCTGTGGCCTGCTAGTTGGTTGAGTAACCATGTCAAGGTTCTAATTATATAGTGACATGGTTCTTAAGTTTTACCATGCTTTTTAACTTGCCATGGCTATCAGGGCTTGTAAATCATCTAGTCTGCCTTCAAAATTGTGTTGAGCGGGGTACCTTGCTTAGGGTCTTTCACAACTACTGACTTGGTGATTTTGTTATTTTCTTTGTTGGAAAAAGGGGTATTTGTTTGTGTCAGTGACATATTCATGCATACATTTATTTGCTGAGTCAGCACTCATTACCTTGACTATTCAGTTTTCTTACCTAATGATCTAGTTGGTTGGCATTGCAATTCGCAATGCTCTGTACCTTTAAAGAGTTTGTAGCGTAAGGTAGTCACGTGATATATGTTAGTTGGTATTATGCGCGAAATACGGAGGGTAGTTAGATTTGTTACGTGGCTTCGTTGTAATAACTGAGTATAAGTAGTGCGTTGGTGCATGAAATAGTTATCAGATAATACAGTTCACATTTATTTTCCTTCGTTCTTGTTCGTCGTTCTCTCTCTGTTAGGTCCACACCTAACACTATGACACCTATTTTTGTTTGTCAATAGGTACTGCCCCATGAGGAGCAATAAGAAATTTCTATTGCGCTCTGGATCATCCCACCTCCATACTTGTTTCCATCGATCCTCTGTCCTGGTAGTTGTTAAATTGGTGAAGAGCATGTACGCTGATACGATGGTGATCTTGCCATCTTTAGATTGTTCTCAGATTAAATGGTCTTGACCTGGGTTAGGGCCAGGGGAGGACATTTTAAATCTTCCGTAAGTTATGGCTTGGTGAATAGTCTTGGATAAGCTTCCATTCCAATCACCTTGGTTGAACACATATTGGGCTGTAGACCAACTCTTCACCTCAACTAGCAACGGTTGTAACAAATGAGCCAGTAAAGAAGGCCTATCATGAACCTATCTATCTAGGTACGATAGGTTTGAGCTGCTAGCTGAAGCTTTAACATTTTTATTTTTATTTTGGGAAGGTTGAATACATATAAGCTTTGGCTAGATTGCTATCAGCTCTTTTGTTTAACAATCCCCTGAAAAAGGGACGAAGTTTCTCGTTCCATTATGAGTTTGTCCCTCTTGCCCGTTGGAAATCGACAATCACACAAATCAAAAACAAAAAGAGAAGGAGAGAGAGAATAGACACAAAGATTTATCCTGATTCACCTAATTTAGGCTACGTCCAGCTTGTCTGTACTATATTCACCTCACCGCCACTCGTTACAAGTCACTCGATTTACAAGGAAATATAAATAGGATTAGAAAACCCTAACAGCAGCTATTCATGGACCCAAGCCCAAACTACTAAGAAAATTAATAAATCAGAGACCTACAATAGTACCTAGCTTCTACGAGCCTGAGGCGCTGCCCCCCGGACCTTCTCCCGCTCACCTAAGAGCAGGACCCCAATTGCCTTTCTGCTGACCCCGGCAACTAAGGTCCTCATCAGCATGCGAAGTATGAGTCATACCCAACATTACCAAGATATTGAGAGGTTTAGAGAGTTGTAGAGAGAAAGATGTTCATTACAAATCTGATCACAAAGAAGTCAATTAAGGTTCAATTCTTCATTAAGTGTTTGGAGATTGCTAAAAAAATTTAACTTGACTTACTAGGGAAAGATTTGACGGTCGGCTTTGATGTTTAAAAATGTTAGAAAGGCTAATGTTCCCCTGCCTGGGTTCCTAATAAAGCAAAATAGAAATTTTTAACCGTGACCAAGCCTATATTTTCCAGCCTTCCAAACCGCAGATCCAACCCATCCTCAGTTGCAGGTGGCAAACAACTCCGAACTTGCTGAATAGTATTTGCATGCAATCAAGTTCGAAATAGCCCAACCTGCCAATCTCCGTTGTCATTAACATAATCACATACTAACTTTTGGAGTTCTACTTCTGGTACTAGGTTGATCCTTCCTCAAGCAATGGCTTCAGCCTCGTAGCCCACATATCCTTCCAAAATGATACCGAAGAGCCATTACCATTACCAATCTCCCAGATTACCTTATCCTCCATTCAATGCCAAGTTTGACAGAGAGCTGCCCATAAACGAGAGCAGCCAACCCTCGCGGTTAGTGTAGAAACACCAGTGCTACTACTCTAATATTTACCCCTCAAGAATTTTGCACACAAAGAATTTGTTTCATTGGGGAAGCACCAAACCAATTTCGATAGGAATGCATCATTCATTACACTTAACCGCTTCAATACCAACCCACCAATCTCCTTTGGCAGAGTTAAAGTATCCCATCCAATTACATGATGTCTATGGGTTGACTCCGTGTCCCTCAAAATAAATCTCCTTTGAATCTTTTCAATATCATTACAAATGGTAGCAAAGTTTGTCATGCTGCAAATGAAAGTTGATTTCATTCACACGACGATGGAGGCTGTAAAGTATGTAAGGCCTATATTTTTTCTTTCCTTTTCTTTTCCTCACATGGGCCCACATGGACTCCACGTTTTTTATGTGTATATAGGAGATAAATTTATCTCTTAAAACATAAAAATCATTAAATCCTTAAACTTATCGGTGGACCTAGATGAAGAATATGCTCAATGAAAAAAAAATTAAACAAAAGTTTTATTTAGCAAGAGAAAATTAAAAAAATTAACATTTGAGAGAATAAAATTTTTAGAGAGAAATTTTTTGAATTTTTTTAAATCTTTTTTTTAAAAAAAGAATATTATGTTAATTGTTTTTTCTAAGATAAAGTCATAGATTTATATTACAATTAATCACTTATTTTCGGTAATCATATAATTAATCACTTTAATTTAACTAACCATTCATTACCATTTTCTTGTCAATTTATAAAATCCTAAAAAAAATAAGAGTAAACATCATTTTTGTCCCTAACAAAAAATACGGTCCCCACTTTAGTCCCTTACAAAAATAAATTAGTCAGTTAGTCCCTAACAAATTCAAAGTGGACCCATTTTAATCTTTTTAAGGGACTAATATGGGTCTTTTTGAATTTGTGAAGGACTACAATTTCAACTAAATGAATTCACTTTAAATTTGTTAGGGACTAACTGACTAATTTATTTTTGTAAGGAACTAAAGTGGGACCATGTTTTTTGTTAGGGACCAAAAAGGGTATTTACTCAAAAAAATAATTACATACTTGTTACTTTTCATGAAGAATCTGTTCAACGGAAATTTTTTTAAACAAACGTTTTATTTAGCAAGAGAAAATCAAAAATAAAATAAAATTGAGAGAATAAATTTTTAGAGAGAAATTATTTGAATATTTTTTTAAAAATCTTCTTTTAAAAAAAATATTATGTATACTGTTTTTTTTTTAAGATAAAGTCATAGATTTATATTATAATTAATTACTTTAATTTAACTAACAATTCATTACCTTCTTGTCAATTTATAAAACCCTAAAAAGAATAATTACATACTTGTTACTTTTCTTCCTTCTCAATTCCTTCCCTCTTATTTTTCAACCAACACCCAAACTTTGTCACCAATTCACCGCTTCAACTACCTTCTTAGAGTCCGATTTTCCACCAACTTCGCATTACGCCAAGATGGCACTGCCCAGGTCGACTCAGATAAAAACTATTGAGGGACTAAAATTCAATTATTTACACACTGATAACCATAAACATAATCAAATCACGCGTTTCTCTTCACTAATTCACCGTGGACCTATCGCTGAATAAGGCAGCTATTGGATCATGAGTACCTCAGGTTCGAGTTGAGAATATATACAGGGAAGCTGATTAAGATAACACTGTCTAATGAACTCCACTTCAGTAGTATATATATATATATATATATATATATATATATATATATAAGCAAAATGATTTATCACGTGATCGGATCTAAAGTTTGATCCGATCAAAAAATTATAACTATGTATTACGTGTAATACATAATTATAATATTAAAGTTATTTTTTTTTCTCTTTTACGTCACCTCACAATTGTCTCCAAAATTACTAAGAGAAAAAAAAAAACTTTAATATTATAACTATGTACTACTAGAAGTACATAGTTAAATTCTAAAGAGAGAAAAAAACACAACTTTAACAAGTTATAATTTTTAGACCGCACCAAACCTTATGTCAAGTCACATGACATCCACTTAACCCATATATATATATATATATATATATATATATATATATATAAAAGAGGGGGACAAAAATTCACTGATTAATCTAAATGAAAAAGAAAGGAAGAACAAAAATATCCAAGGCACAAGAAAGCAAGATATTTAACCATATCTTCCCCTCCCCCTCCCTCTTCCCCTTCCTCTACCTCTTCCTCTTTGTGCCATGTGATGGCTGCCATCAGAATCCCTTTCATATGTGAACATACTCATCCTAATATCTCGTGCCTTCGCCTCATGAGAGCCCATTTGTGCCTGAACAAGTCAGATATAGGACATTGGAAAAATATTGCTAAGGTAGAAAGAATAGGAAAAACAAACAAAACAGCACAATTCACAAATACCAATAAACACAGATAAGCTACTGACCCGATCTTCAAGGTTGAATTGATTCTGAAGCTGCCAAGCAAGATTCTCATCACGGGTAGTATCTAGAACCCTTTCTTTATTAGATGGCTTTGCCTGGGCCTTTCTATTTTCGTATTCTTCAAGAGTAAATACAACAGGATCTTCTTCTTTCCCCTTACCCCTATGTTTCCGACCTCTAGGATGCCTATTATCCTGATTTGGGTGATTCAGTTTCTGAAGTAATTTTTGGGCAGCCGCTTGATTTTGCACGGGAACAGATTCAACAACTGTAAAAGGGGTCAAACATCAATATCACAATAATACAATCAGAGAAAAACGACAATATATGTTAATAAAGAATGGATTCAGGCTAGTATTGTTCATTTCAAATAAAAAACCTATTGCACCTTACACATCAATAAAGGCATTTTTTTTATTCTCATTTTATATCATTTCTAAAATTTGATTGATCAGAGTTCATTCCAAATGACTTCTGGCCTCTATACATAAGCTAAGAGACATGAATGAAACATCAAACCAGCTAATCGCTTTTCCAGGGCAGTTGGTATGGGTTTTGAATCAACTCCGATTATTTATTTTGTGATAGGATCCTGAATTATCAAAGACCAAAAGGTAGGAGAAAACTGAAATGTAAGTAGTGTATTGAATCTGAAATAACAGAATACAAAGGATCTAGGTTATTCGAGAAAACCCTGCTCTTCTAAGCCATTCAATAACCTTAAAACCTTCTCGTCCAATACCACCCAATTCAAACCTACTCTTCCTCCGAGCCATCTGTTGAGATATATAGTCCCACATTGGTTGTATGTGCAACTAATGTGGAGTTTATAAGGTCTTGGGCACTCCCACCCTTTGAGCTAGCTTTTGGGGTGGTTTATCCCAAAGTTCTTTACACGGTATCAGAGCCTTGCCACCCCCACTTTCTCTTGTGGCGTTTCTTAGCACAGGTAGACTGGGCCTGTTGCATTGTCCACTCTTCAAGCCCAATGGGCTCTCGTGTGAGGGGACGTGTTGAGATATATAGTCCCACATCGGTTGTATGTGCAATTAATGTGGAGTTTATAAGGCTTTGAGCACTCCCACCCTTTGAGCTAGCTTTTGGGGTGGTGTATCCCAAGGTTCTTTACACGGTATCAGAGCCTCGCCATCCTCCACTTTCTGTTGTGGAGTTTCTTAGCACAGGTAGGCTGGACCTGTTGCATTGTCCACGCTTCAAGCCCAAAGGGCTCTCGTGTGAGGGGGCGTGTTGAGATATATAGTCCCACATTGGTTGTATGTGCAACTAATGTGGAGTTTATAAGACCTTAGGCACTCCCACCCTTTGAGCTAGCTTTTGGGGTGGTGTATCCCAAGGTTCTTTACATGGTACTAGAGCCTCGCCGTCCCCCACTTTCTCTTGTGGAGTTTCTTAGCACAGGTAGGCTGGGCCTATTGCATTGTCCACACTTCAAGCCCAAAGGGCTTTCGTGTAAGGGGGCGTGTTGAGATATATAGTCCCACATTGGTTGTATGAGCAACTAATGTGGAGTTTATAAGGACTTAGGCACTCCCACCCTTTGAGCTAGCTTTTGGGGTGGTGTATCCCAAGGTTCTTTACATGGTATCAGAGCCTCGCCGTCCCCCACTTTCTCTTGTGGAATTTCTTAGCACAGATAGGCTAGGCCTGTTGCATCATCCACTCTTGTGTGAGGGGGCGTGTTGAGATATATAGTCCCACATTGGTTGTATGTGCAACTAATGTGGAGTTTATAAGGCCTTGGGCACTCCCACCCTTAAAGCTAGCTTTTGGGGTGGTGTATCCCAAGGTTCTAGGTTCTTTACACCATCCTTATTTTAAAACTCCACTAGTAACTGAATTATGCTATCCCTCCAATCATAGGTTGCCGGCTGGACTATTCCAAAAGGCTCTAAGTAACTAACTCTTCCCCTCCCGTGTGGTGCTTACTCCTTTGTTCTCATCTCTAGCCTTCCTAGTGCACACTTTAATTAGAGATGTATCAATTCAGCTTCAGCTTGTCCTCAAGATGAAATTCTCAAAAATGCTCATCAACCTCAACAAAATCTCCTCAAGAATGTTTACAAGGTGGAAGACTGTGCCACTTAACACCTCCAAATGTCCATTTTTATACCGTAGCGAGTCTGCAGCAACTCTTCACGAACCAGCTAAAGTTCTAAATCATCTTGCAAGCAAGGAGGCAATGGCTGTGGAAGAATCTGACTAGCTTCTTCAATTAAGAAATGTGAAAAACAAAATGTATGCATGCATCTGGAAGGAGTTTCAAGCGATTAGCCACCTTGCCAATTTTCTCCAATGCTTCAAAAGGATCATAGAAGCATGGAGTCAGCTTCTCATTAGGATGGTTGGCAAGGGACAGGAAGCCGTATGGTTGCAGCTTGAGAAAAACCATATATCCCACAACCAGATCCATATCCCACATCTTCCATCTGCCGTCTATTTAATTGTCTGCTGAGCATGAAGTAAATGATGCTTCAGTTCATCAAGGATGCTGTTACAAGCCTGCAATATAGCCTCAACATCAGACACACTGCTTCCATCAGATACCAAATGCAAAAGAACAGGTGGATCTTGTCTATAGAGGGCAAGGAATGAAGTGATACTCAATGAACTGTGGTAGAAAGTATTGAACCAATACTCCACCCAAGGAAGCCATTGAACCCAGTCCCTGGGTCGATGAGCACAAAGAAACCACAATAGGTATCTAGGCTCGGGTGCTAGTGAAATTGAGCTAGACTCCCACGGTCTTAAAAGAGTTCCAAGTCTTATGACCAAAAAGTTCTAAGGAGCAATCAATCGGTCAGAAACAATGGAGTGAGGGAAACCATGCAATCTAATTATCTCATTACAAAATAGATCAGCCACGGTCTTGGATATACATGAATGCAAAGAGGCAAAAAATGGCAGAATTTTCTCAATCCACCCCCACAAAATGGTGTCAGTATCCCATGTTCTTGGAACTTCATTCACAAAATCAATGGAAATATCATCCCATAGTTGTTTCGGGATAGACAGTGGTTCAAGCCCTGCTGGACTAATGGCTTGAGTTTTTCTTCATTAGCATATTTCACAAGTGGTCACGAATTTCTTGATGGCTGACTTCTTCCCAAGCTTGTACAGCACTACAAAAAGGCATTTGTAGGTGTGGAAAAATTACAAACGACCACCAAATGGGGAAGCGGAATAAAGTTGGAGTGATGGACTAATAAAAAAAAACACCACTCCCTATTATACCCAAATAGCGAGTGTGGGACGGGAGCAATCCTTGTACGCAGCCTTACCCTTACATAATTGTAAAAAGACTGTTTCCTGGATTCGAACCCATGACCTTTCAATCATGAAGGAACAATGTAATGGTGACAGCAGTAATTAAACAATTAACAGAACAATTAAAATGAAGAAACAAGGCTTTTGGGTATAATTTCTTTGGTATTGAAAATAAGGGAAAGACTGAACGTCTGTTACAACTAGAGCAATTCGAGAGTGCTCTATTCTCTCCTTCTACTCACTCACTAACTGACTGAATGAATAATCCTCTCTCCACTCCTCATACTACATATAACAACTTGCCATCCTACACACGCGTACTACACCACTCCTCACCCATAACTGCCTATTCTCATCATACTCTCCTACACCACATCAGCTGCCAAGTCATCAACACTAACTTCTTCCACATCAACCTCAGATACCCTACGACCTCGCCTACGGTACACCTTAATTGGCTTTGTTACAAAACTCCCCCCCAAATCTTTCACCTTGTCCTCAAGGTGAAACTCAGGAAAACGTTGCAAAATAGAAGAAGCTAACTCCCATGAATTCTCAAAGTCAGGAAGATTTTTCCACTGAATCAACACCTCAGTGAAACCATTGGGATGAAGACGATGTTGCAGCACTTGAAATGGTTGAACCACTAACTCCCATGAATCGGACAGCATAAGAGGCAAGGGTTGCACCAACGTTGATGGCTGGACAGCACCCTTAAGAAGAGACACATGGACAACAGGGTGTACTTTGGATCCACTAGGCAAACACAATTTGTAAGCGGCAGCCCCAATGCGTTCAACCACCTTGTAAGGGCCATAAAAACGGGGGCTAAGCTTCTCATTAATTTTCGTCGCTAGAGACTTCAGGCGGTACGGTTGCAGTTTTAAAAACACCCACTCACCAATTTGGAATACAACATCCCGACGTTTTCTATCAGCATACTGTTTAAACCGACACTGAGCTTGTGCCAAATTCTGTTGCAAATCTTGCAAAATCACATCCCGATCCTTAAGCAATTGTTCCACGGCATCCAAACGTGATGGGTGATTGCCACTGCGAAACAAAGTAGGAGCATCCCGTCCATATAAAGCTTTAAATGGGGTCATACCAGCAGATTCATGGTAATTGGTATTAAACCAAAATTCCGCCCAATGTAATCAAAGAATCCATTGTTTGGGACGAGGGTGGCAAAAACATCGAAGATACGTTTCAACACACTTATTCGTAACCTCCGTCTGACAATTGGATTGAGGATGATAAGCGGAAGAAAACTTCAAGGACGTTCCAGCCTTACGAAACAACTCTACCTAGAAAGAACTCATGAACAACCTATCTCTATCAGAAACAATGGACAGTGGAAATCCATGCAAACGCACAATCTCTTTAATGAACAAATTGGCTACCTCTTTCGCAGAAAAAGGATATTTAAGAGCAAGGAAATGAGTGTATTTAGTAAACGATCAATCACCACCAAAATAGTGTCAAACCCATTAGAAATAGGGAGACCCCCTACAAAGTCCATAGCAATGTCATTCCAAACCTGTGATGGAATGGGAAGTGGCTGCAATAAACCCGCAGGAGCCAATGTGGAATGTTTGTTACGTTGGCAAATCTCACAAGCTGTCACATGAGCATGAACATCCTTGCGCATGCCTTCCCAAAAGACACAATTAGTGATGCGCTTGTATGTTTTGTGGAACCCAGAATGCCCCCCAACCACAGAATCATGAAATTCCTTAAGAATTTTTGGGATCCAAGAAGAAGATTTAGCCAATACCAGTCGGTTTTTATAAAATAACCGCCCACCTTGCAAAACGAACCCCTCATGAGCCGAAGGGTCTATCAATAACTCTTGATTCACCTTGTTGAACCTTGCATCTTGTTGTAATTCATTCTGGATCACATCCCATCCATCAAATTGCATCTGTGTCATAGCATTAAAACACATTTGTCTAGATAAAGAATCAGCAACCGTATTTTCTT